GCAGGTCCTGCAGGAACATGCGGCCGCCGTGGGCGCACAGCACCTTGGTGAGGAAGGAGCACACGGTGGGCTCCGCCATGGTCGCGGCCCGGCCTGTGCGGCCGAGACGGAAATCCGAGGCGGGCAGACTCCTCCCAGTCACGTCCACGATTTCAACCCCCGATCCCGGGACGGGCCTGGGAAAGGGCGGGCGAGGGGCGGCCGCCGTGGCCGCGGCGCTGAGAGGAGGGCTCTGGGGCCGGGGTCCGCCCTGGACGCAGACCCGGCCGGGACAGTACTTACTGAGCGCCTGTACTGTGCCAGACTCCCTTCAAGGTTAAGTCCTTGCCTTGAGGGACTTGCATAGTTGGGGAGAATTGGAGATGCTGGTAAGGGCTGCAAAGATGAAACAGGTAATGCGGTGGAAGATGCACCGCTGGGCGGCCTTAGGTAGTGGGGAGGGGAAGATCTGGGGAGGTAGCCACTCGCCACTCGCTGTTGAGCACCTATCTGAGATGTGACCAGTCGGAATTGGGATGTGCAGTAGACGTGCAATACACATACTGGATGTGGAAGCTTTAGAATGTGGAGAATGTAAACTACCTCATTAATAACTTTCTATTAACCATGTTCAAGTGATAATAATTTCAATAAAATGTTATCATAACTTCAACTGTTTCTTTTACTTCTGATGTAGCTATGAGAAAATGTCGAATTACATACATGGCTCACTTTCTACTGCTTTTGAACAGTAGGCGTTTAGACTTGTACGTTTATTAAGGAGCTATCCTTTTTACCCAACACCATGCTGATTAAATGAACTTTTTTTTTGAGCCGATTGCTAAAGCAGTACTAGAGTACAAAGATGAATAAAACGTAGTTGAACTCAGTAGCTGAGTTGCTATCTTACAGGGTGGTTAAGATTAAATGAGTCAATGTCCTGTAAAGAAGCACAAGAGAAAGGCAGCGAAGACTTTCAGAAGCCACTGAAAAAACTTCAGCTGGGGAGTGATGTGGCCCTTCTCCCTACAGAATGCTGCCCACCACCTCCAAGTAGATGTCTCCTTTTGTCATTCAACTCTGAGCTTTTTTCCCCCTTTGCAGGGAGGTGGGGGGTGGGTGGGTGGTAATTAGATTTTTGTTCATTTATTTAAATAGAGGTACTGGGGATTGAACCCAGAAACTTGTGCATGCTAACCATGGCATTCTACCACTAAGCTATACCCTCTCCCCCAACTGCAGGCTTAAATGTCTTCTCTTCAGCAAGACCTATCCTAACTGCCCAATCTAAAGTAGCTCTCCAGGTTCTGCATGGAACTTGTCACTCATGGTTTTCTTGTTTGTTTATTTATGTATTTGTAGAATTCAAGCATATTGAAAGCAGGAATCTTGTGTGTCTTGTCCCTTGCCAGATCCCCAACACTTAAAAACAGTGCCTGGCTATATTGTAGGATGGGTGTTTTATTTTTTTCAAAAAACATTTGGTAGTATAAAATTTTTCAAACAAAAAATTAGAAGATAGTGAAATAAGCATCCATATATATCTATTTCCTCGAGTTATAAAATCTTAACACTCTGTCCTGTTTTATTTGCCTAAGTGCTCTGGCTGAGAATTTATAAAATTACAGGTTCAGTTTCAATCCTAAGTACTTCTGTACATATGACTTTTAAAAATAAGTAATTTTCCTACACAACCCCAACACTTTTATAACTAATCAAAGTAACTGTAATTTTCCTTAACATCTTTAATGTAGGATTGGTGTTTTGGAAAGATCCCTGGCAGTAGTAAGAATGGATTTCTAGAGGAGCAAGACAGGGTAAAGAATTAGAGAAGAGAAACAGGATTTGAGAGACTATAATCTCAATTTTTCTTTTAATGGAGATACTGGGGATTGAGGTACCAGGACCTCCTGCATGCTAAACACAAGCTCCACCACTGAGCAATTACTTTCTACCCTCCAATATCTTAGTTTTTATTATGTTGAGTTTGCCGTGGACAATCCACGGTAAGGTGCTCAGTAGGCAGTTGTATATACAGGTAAAGAGCTTAAGATGGAGGGGAATATCAATTTGAGTGACATCTAAGTATTAGGTCGTTTAACCTGAGAGAGTTGATAAGATCCTTCAGTAAAAATGAAGAGTGTGCAAAGCAGAGGTGGGAGGACAGAACCTCTAGCAACATGAAACATTTCTGGAAAACAGAGAGCCTGCTATGACAAAGCAAATGAACACATAGAACAAACAACTAACTGGAAATACTCAAACATCTGCTCCTGCTCGGTTTGATGGCATATTTGTGTATTTGAATGTGGAGGCTGTGACAGCAAAAGGTTGGCTATACCTTGTTTTATTTACATTGAGGTCCAAATCAAATGGCAAATTTACCTTTACTTTAAACACATCTATGCTTAGAATAGATAAACAAGATTACACTGTATATAGCACAGGGAAATATACACAAAATGTTATGATAACTCACAGAGAAAAAAATGTGACAATGAGTGTGTATATGTCCATGAATGACTGAAAAATTGTGCTGAACACTGGAATTTGACACAACATTGTAAAATGATTATAAATCAATAAAAAACGTTAAAAAAAATAAATAAACACATCTATGCTGCCATTTGGAGATTTTTCTCTCTTCATCCAGAGCTTTGTGAATAAAAAAGGACGAGTGGGGAAGGGCTTTTGAAGGAGTGACTGATAGGACCATTCTGCTGATAGTCATTTACATTTTTAACTTCTGTGCCTCAGCCTGGCCCTGTTCCCATCCGTAAGGTGTGTTAGCAGCTTCCAGCGTCTCCCTCTCTCAGCCCCAGGAAAAAGATGTGCCAACCAACTGAGGGTTTCTCCCTCGCCACCACCCAGCCTTTCCCTGGCAGTGAGCTAAAAGCCCCTTGGTCACTGAGTCCTGGAATGAAGAAGCTGGAAGGGGCAAAACACATCCTCCAGCCCTCACTGAATAAACTGGTGTCTGCAGTTGACTATCTTTTTAAGAGATAAATAGAAATAGAGCAAATAAAGGCAGCAGAGCAAAATTAATATTTATTTCATTAGGTAATCTCAAATTGAGCTTGACGAACAAGAAGAAATACAAATCAACTACTGCATTACAAACGTTGAGGTTACTTTATCCAACAAAATCTATCCGATGTATCAGCATATCAAGCACTCAGTAGGCATCAGGGGTGGCACAGTGAACAAGACAGGTTGACTAGGCTCTCACGGAGCTCACATTCTAATGTGGAAAATGGACAACTCCAAGTTGGATAGAGGCTAAAAATGAACAAAGCAAGATGCAAAGTCTTTTAAAAACTGACGACTTGGGAGGCAAGCATCAGATCTAATCTATAGAAGGATTCTTTACGGGGGTAGCAAGTGAGATAATCTAAAGATGCTAAATATTAACCAAGTCAGTGATTCTCACTGTGGTATTTTGAAAGTTGACGAGTTGTTGGTTTCATAGTAATTGCGGACTTTGACTGACAATGAGTGGATGCAGCCAGGGATAACAGACATCCTGCAGTGTATGGGTTAGTCCCACACAACGAAGAATTATTCTGTACCTTATACGATTTTCTTATGTCCTACTGGACATTTATGTAGGACCTACAGCTTGCCTGAGAGAATTATAATTCATTGTTTTCTCTTAGACAATCTGTAACGTGCTCGTCCTAATACTCTTATTTCAATTAAGGTAACTTCGCTCTTTCCCTTACCACATACAGATAAGGTATATGGTCCTACCTTACATATGGACTCACCCTAATACTAGCTTTCATTCTGGTGTCACCTAGACTTCGAATCTTTCAGTTTCCTGTACTTCGTTACAGGAGTAGCCTCTGATCGACCTTTAAATCTAAACCTATTCACGATGAGTTGGTGTATTTACATTCCATTTCATGATGTCATATAGCGTAGTCATGCCTGAGCATTTACATATTGATATTTATTTTATCTATGTTACAAATTTCTTTCCTTCTGTTTCTCCATTAGTTAGGGTTAGGGCATTAAACTAATCTTTGAAGAAATTCATGTAGATTGTAGTATCTATGAATCATCTCAGGACGGCAAAGGGAATGTTACAAAAACATCTGCTCTGAAATAGGTGAATAGATCTGACAGGGTGGTGGTTATCATACTGGGGGGAGACAGGGGAGGGCGCTACTGGCATTTAGTATGTAGAAGCCAAGTATGCAGAACATCTTGCAATACATTGGACAATTTCTCACAATAAGGAATTACTCTGCACCCTATACGAATTTTGAATGTCTCACTAGACATTCGTGTATGACCTACAGTTCGTCTGCAAGAATATAACATTTCCTCATTTTCTCCAGTTCGACAAGCTGTAGATTTTCTTGCATAGTATCTTTGTGTAGTTAAGGTAGTTTCGTTCTCTCTTATAGAAATAAGTATTATCCTATGTAAGTAAGTTACTGTGTCACTAGTTTGTATTCTAATGTCCACTCGCATCCCTGCTTTTACATTTTCCCATAGTTCTTTATACAAAATAGCTTCTGATCTCCTACCTTCTTTTAAGTTCAGATTTATTCATTGTAAGTAGGTGTAAACATCTGACTACTTAGTAAGTTCTTCTGGTATAGTTGCACCCAAGTTATGAAACTTTCATTCCCTTTTATGATGACATTAATTTTAATTCACTTTTTAATTTACTTCTATAATTGTGTGTAGGTAAAGAATATTGCCACTGAACTGCATTTTGAGAGTAACTAGAGGATATTACAAAGTATTTGTTGTTAAAAAAAAAAAAAAAGGCAGGACTGCCAGTTGAGAACCACCAAGCTGGGTTAAAAAGGCACTGAAGAACTGTAAGAAAGCCAGAGTTATAGTGAAAGAAAATAAATGAGAGGGGGAGAAAAAAAAAGAAAGAAAATACATGAAAGGGTAGGGAAGCGACAGAACACGTGGGGCCATGATGATGAGTTTGAACTTTATTCTAAAGGATCAGATTTGTTTTGGAAGGCTATTATTAAGTAAAAATTTTTAAATTCTTGCTGCTAAGTGAAGAACAACTTAGAAGGGAACAGAGATACTTAAGAAGGAAAACTTGACATGGGAACTGCTTGGATGTGCAGGGGGATGGAGATAGAGGAGTCAAGGACGACTTCCGGGATTTCTGCTTGAGCAGATGGGTGGATAGTGACACGTCTTACTTATATACAGAATCCTGGGAGAAAAACTGATTTGTTTGAGGGAAGCAAATGGAGTGCTCCATTTTGGACACCCTGAATTAGAGATGTCTGTGAAAGAGCCAATTAGAGGTGTCCAATCAGCAGCTGGTTAGAGTTGGATAAACTGCATCTCCACAATGTGAGGGTCAAGATCAGGAAGTGAAAGCTCCAAAATGGAAGCTACCATGAAAAGAAAAAATGAATATTTGTGGCAAGTCTCTCAGAAAATAACCCTACCCTAAAAAATATGTACACATTTATCAGTGGTGGAAACCTTTAAAGCCAAGGAGTTGTGGAGATCTTTGTACTGATTTAAAATCTAATATAAAATCAGCTCTCATGTAATTTTTTTAACATGTCTGCTGCAAGGAACTAGAACAGGAAATTTTGGCGACTGGTATGGAATGTTGAAGAGGAAAACTGGAAGGAAAAATCTGATTTATAAGGAGGAACTCTTGGTCCAGGCACCGCAACTGCTCTAAAAGCTGATTGTGCTACAATTCCACACAATCCGTTATATTTAGAAAAAGAAGCCCCTGGTAGGTGCGAGGCTTGTTTGGGGCATTGATCTCTTCGTTCTGATTCTGTGCTCACCAGGAAACAAATCTCGCCTCCTTAGGGGGCCATCCTTCAGCAGGATGGTCCTGCTCCCAATTTCTTGGTGAGCTTCGACTGCCACAGCGAACGATTCCAATGGCACTGAATCCATCACTCATGCTGTGTGAATCTGGTTACTGCAAACTCAGTGCCCCCATGACACTGACACTTCATGAAAGTCTGACCTGAAAAAACCTCTGTGATCATATTAATTAGGATATAAATGCCTCCTTTGCCATAATTCTGTAAAGAGATCAAGTAGGCAATTAACTCCAGTTGGTTGCTTCTCTCTGGGCCACACTTAGCAGCTTCCAGAAAGAGTCAACCTGGATGGAGTGTCCTAAATAAACATAGAGATAAAGAAATGCACGCCCCAAGTCAGTTCACCGCAAAGATAAGGTACAGTAATGTGGTGACGTCTGCACTAGCATTTAAATTATCCTTACATTCTTCCCTCCAGCATATTCCTAAGTATTTTCCCCCAACTTTTCACAATCTTCCATCCAAGGCTGTGTTGTCTTATGTCCTTATTTCAATAGACATTTTTAGATTTTTCTCAAATTCCCCAAATTCATTTTCTTTGAATTTAACCAAAACAAGATCGTATCATGCAGTAAACTAAAAGAGGAGTTGGGAGAGAAAGGTTGCTGCGATTACAGAAGTTTTAGAAATGAGTCTTTACCAGTTACATCTAAGGCAATGATTCCCAGACTTTATGACACATTTCAATAGTCTTCCTGGCTCTCATCCCCAGAAAAAGTGATTTCGTTGGACTGCGGCGTAATTTGGACACTGGAAATTTTTAGAGCTTCCCAGATGATTCAAATGTGCAGCAAAGTTTGGGAATCACTGATCCATGGCATTTAGGCGAGGAAATGTAAAAGTTTATCATCTGGGACAATATGGGTTCTGTAAGGGAACAGAATGGTTATGGCATCGTTATGACGCTGTATTCATCATTTCTAACTAATCACACAGGGTTTGTCGGTTTCACTATATTCAATCACATATGCTGGGTAAATCTGATCTTTCTGAAAGATGACAAAGACTGAGGGGTTCAACCTTGTGTCCACACAGCTGTCATAGTGCGGAGGAGGGCTCGTGTAACTCATACGCCCTTCAGTAAATTCTCCAACCAGGACTCGGGCTACAAACATAACGATGTTCTTGAGACCATATGGGCAATTTTTATGGGAATTGATGGCCTCCATTGTGAAGTAATTTCCTAGAAATAATTAGAAAAAGAAGATGGTTAAGAATTATTATAAAAGGACAGATATAGTTTAGAAGATTATTTACACAGAATCAGATGATGGACGTTGACTACATATAAGTCAACAGCTCCTTACTGATACTTACAACTTTCTTTGGTACTTAAAAAAATGTTTATTACTCAAGTCAACCTGAATGCAGTATATGAACCGACTGAGATAACAGAAACATTTGCTACTGTGGGATTCATGAGGATACCACACTTAGCAGCTCTTTTTATTACATTCCAGAAGGAGTCAACCTGGATGGAGTACCCTAAATAAATACCCAATGACTTGGTATTGGGTACAATGACCAAGTGGCAATAACACAGTGGCCCAATTCATGGAACTCATGCAAAGCAGGTTGAATTGTAACTGATAAATCAAAGATACTCCAGCAGAGGCCATTTTATATTGTGTATACTTTAAGGAACAAAGGTCATTTATTACTGATGGAAGGTCCTGGAAAAAGTGAAAGGGAGAGATGTAGCATGAGCAAGCCATTGACCCTGGCAGAGCTTTTCAGACAACTGATCCACCGTCTTCAATTTTAAAACAAGCTTGATCATCACTGATGTTTCCACACTCAGCAGATCAACATTTTCTTGACAAATCAAAATTTCCCGTTTTTATTTTTATGGTTGCCCAATGTTTTTCTGCCCTTTAAAACAATCTCTTTATCGTTCTCCATTGTGCAAAGAGTAACCATGGCCCTGAATACCTGATTTTTAAAATGAAGCATCAGCTGTTTTTAAATTACACTTCTATAATCTGGAATCTACATTTTCTTAAATGATCCAAACTTAAGACCCAACCTTATAAGCCCACTCTGCTAAGACCTGGACTCTGTCTCATTGCAAATACCCCTTTCAAGGAGCAGATCCTTCGAACTCCCACATCCTCTTCCTCCCTTCTGCCACTCCGTGGATCTAGGCCACCCTCATTTCTGGCCTGGACTCTTGAAACAACCTCCCAGTTGTTCTCTCCACCTGCAGTCTCAATCCTATCCCTCCTTTCTTCACACGGCAGCCAGAGACATCGTGTCATCTCTCTCCTAAAACCAGTGCGGTATGCAATTGTCCTCAGGATAAAAACTAGACCCCTAGGATTGCTTGCAAGATCTTTCAGGATCCAACCCCAACCTACAGCTCCAGACTCATCTTCTGTCACTCCAACCACACCTTAAATGCACTGTACTGTCCATAGCTCCCTGGCCTTTATCCAACCTCTTCATAAACACTCTTCTCCCCAATTTTTTTTTTTTTGCCTAACTAAGCTTTTGTTTGTCTTAGAGGCCACATTTAGACTTCACAATATGCTGATTTTCCATAGTCTACTTTGATTCATTTTTTTATCATTCAGTATAATTGATGTAATGGGATAATACTGTAAAAACACTATGCTTTTTTTTTCTTCCAATTCTTTATACACAACCATGCTTCATTTAGCCAGACACATTTTTTGTCTCAAAGAGAATTAGAATCTTAGGAGGAATATATAAGGAGAAAGAATCATGGTCAGCTTTTGATTATCAAAATAGGATCTAGAAATTCATTGCAAAAAAAATGGCAGACTTTGTTAACTAGAAAGAACTCGGAATGAGACCAGGAGCAGGAACCCTTTCTAGGTTGAGTCAAAAAGGGACAACGTGGACTCTGACGCAGTCCTTCAGGGACCTTGGGTCTGGGCCCAGAGGGTGGTCAGTGACTAAAAGACAGAGATAACAAAGGGGAGTCTGGGAGCAGAGGAGAGCATGTGGCCCCCTCTATGGGTAGAACCCCAACTTTCCAGTGCTCCAGATTCTCTTGGGTTTTTTACGTAGACCCTCAGATTATCTTCAAATAACATTTTGGTTTTTCCTTCTTAAGCATTTAGCATCTTAAGGTACCTGGGTTGCAGAATCTTGAGAGATTTTATAGATTTGTGACGCCTGCAGCACCCTGGACACTAAACATGTTCCCTGACCTTATGCGTGTCCCGTCCAGCTTCTTGAATCGCGTTTGTACCAGGACAGGCCCCTCTTTGCTTAGCTGCCCCCTAAATATGTGCTTCCTCTTCTAATTTCACTTAGCTTCTGCTTTTTATACAAATCTGAGTTTTTGTCATCTCCTTTGCTGTCCAAGTGGGTGGCTTTTTTTTTTTTCAACTGGGCGGCTTTAACCTCCCTGCTGTAGTTCTTATTCTCAGCCCCGACTGAGCAGCAGCTCTGGTCCCACGTCCCAGCTCTTCTGAACTCCCTTACTAACCTGCCTTCTGCTCTGTCCTCCACCTCCCATTAGATGCCTGGTTTCCATCTCCAGTTTATCAAGATGTAACCCAGAGCCCTTCTGTCCTTCCAGGCATGTCTTACTACCCCTTACGTAGAGTCACATGCTAAATTACACAGGTGACAGCCCAACCAGGGTGGCTTCACGCGTGCCACAGGGAGGCTTTGTCTTCCCTCTTTGAGATTTTTTTGTGTGAGCAGACTTGTGCTGCTTCAGTCCCCAGTTGACCAGCGTGGCCAGAGATGAAAAGAGGCATCTTTGATTTGAACCCATCAGTGGCAACAGAAGGGATGGTCATCAGTCAGGAAGAGCCATGGCCGGAACTGAGCAGCAGTGGGAGCCAACGGGCGGAGCAGTTTGCAAGCATGTGTGAGATGCTTTGGTCCTTCTCCCTCCAAAACACAGACGACAGGAGGGGAGCAGGGCCAAGGCACCGCATTCAAGTCTCCACGTCGACTTCCCACTCTAATTTAGGCATTCCACGTTAATGTGAGTTTATTTTCTCTCCGTGACTGGGAAAGCCTGGACATGCTGGTTAATACAAAACAATTACAGACACCTCATAACAGGAACATGTAGAGAGCCTGATTAGGGCTCTTCTAGTCGGCTTCTTTATTCCACACAAACCTTTTCCATATTTGGCGTCGTGAACTCCATGTACAGTCCAGTCAAAGTTATTTGCACAGATGGACTCCATGTGGGCCTGTGCCGTTGCACAAAACAGGAGCTTTTCATATCTCTGCATCTCCTTCCTCCTCCTAATACAGGAAACGTGAGACTTAACCCCAAGAACATTCCTCGCCCACTCCAATTAATAACATTAATCCCAACTGAAGTCGAATCATCTTAAAATTTTTATTCCACTCGCTTTCAGAACGGAGCCACTAACATGAAGGCAACAGCTGTTAAAGAACAAATTTATTGGGGGCAGGGGAGGGTATAGCTCAGTGGTAGAGCTTGTGCTTAGCACACACGAGGTCCTGGGTTCAATCCCCAGTACCTTCGTTAAAATAAATAAACCTCGCCAGCCCCCTCAAAATGAATAAATTAATGAAAAACTTAAAATGATAGACACAGGAAATCATTTAACTGTAGGGCCAAAGCTGAAAGAGAGAAGCTTGAGTTTACAGGATGAAAAAAATCAGTAGAGACTGAAAAAACTGTTGACTACTAAAATAAACCAGTGACTAGAAATCTTAAAAAGATAGATCTTAACTAATCCTCTCAAACTCTGTATCAAGACACCTGATAATGTGGCCACTGACCTTTCAAAAGCATTCAAGAGTTTTGTGTTCTGAACCTTCCTTATCCTTTTGATCTTGAAGTTTTTCATGGAAGCTTTAAAACGCTCACTTATTTCGTTGTATTCCAGAGAGTGGTTATCGATCTCAAGCAACTGGAGAAAAAAAAAAGGAAATTATATAGACGTGAGACAGGAAACACTTCAGGCCTGATCTGTCCACACGCGTGGCCGCCTACGCCACAGAGAGCCTCCGCCAGGCCTCTGACAGCACGTGGGATAAGCTGGCTTAGGGTTTCCACGTCGGGCAGTTTATTCCAGCAATGAACCAGATGACATGGGGCCATCTGCTCGGGCTGACTTAAGCCTAACAAAGCATTACACCTGAAGTGCAAAGGGAGGCCCCCCCTGAGGTGTCTGACTTAGTCCAGTGACCTAGAGAGTTACTTGTATAAAGCCAGTGCAGGGGCAGAGGCACTGGAGGTACCCAAGGAGCCCACGCAAAGTGGCCGGTACTCAAATCAATGTGATGTGGAGGCTAAAAGATCCAGGAAGAGTCTTGCCTTAACCAGGCGAGATGATGAGCTGAGCTTTAACCCCCTAGAAACCTCCTTTTTAATTCCACCTAAAGGGTGAGTCACTGTTACTATCCGAGTTCCAATTTTATTGTCTATAAATTAGAGAATCTGATATCTATCTCATGAAGTTATCCAGGAGATCTGCCCAAAGGAGACGGTGTGTGGCTGGACTCTGGAAACAAGGTGCCCTGTAGAGGAGCTGTTCTCTGGGAAGTGACACATAGCACAATCACCATTTGGATGTCAGCCATCGAATCTTTCTTTTTTTAATTAAAAAATAATTTTTTTTATGTGTGGGGGGAAGTAATTAGGTCTAGAGGAGGTACCGGGGTTTGAACTCAGGACCCAAAGCATGCTAAGCATGTGCTCTACCACTTGAGCTATACCCTCCCCACTAAGGCCTTTGAATCTTAATGCAAGAGTTTTGCAGAAGCAATTCATTCATTCATTCATTCATTCAAATACACACATTTGTAGCAAAGTAGTCCTTTGTCCCACCTTGAAATGTGACCCACTAAAAAGTAAAAAACAAGTACCTTATAGTCATTTGAGAAACTCCTGTTCTGCTGAGGAACAAATGTCGAGGTTAAAGGCTCTGACTGGGTCTGCATCTGCTGATGGCTACAAACAAGAGAGAGTAAGAAATTCATTTGGCTCCGTGTTTCATGTGCCCAAGTCACTTTCTGTCCTTAACTTCTACTAAGCCAAGGTTCCCCAGAGAATTTTCTCTATGTATTTTCTTTGGACTACATCCCTGCATATTCCTGGTCCAGACATACCAGTAATCATGCTTTTTAAAAATGTGGTGATTATTCGTGATTTGGTAAATTGCTATTTTCCCATTGATTTAACATGTAAAAGCTTTGATTCTTCTTTACACTTCTGCTTAACCTTCAAAGGTCCTAACGTGTTAGCATTAACTGTTTTACGGCTTCTTTGTCAAATGATAAACACTTACATACTTTAGGGGTACGGAGAGAGAATCCTCCCCCTCCTGTATGAATTGTATTTCAGGGTAACCATACACGTTGGGGTTCTCTATGTGGCCCCCCCTGCCGAGTAATACGCACATAGGGGTTTACTGCACAATTTTCTCTACTTTAAGTCTGAAATTTTTCCATAATGAGAAAATTAAATTTTCAAAACTGCTTTAAGGAAGAAAATTCTTTAAAGGTCCCCTTTTGTAAAACGAAGATTCCTTTGGAATGAGAGAGATTGGCCCCAATTTATTGATATTTTAAGCTCAGATTTCCATACTGGATTTGCATAGTGCCAAACAGATTAGATTAATATGTTGAAAGGTGCTCATCAACAACGAAATATGCTAGAACTCCTTTCTCTTCAGACTGTTCAGGATAATATTCACAGTCCTCATTCTATCCTAAGGCAGTGTGTCTCCTCCGGTCTAGTGAGAGCAGGATTAAAGTTGGTTCTCTCCACGACCTCCCATGAGCAGTTTCCTGAATTCATTTTATTCACTCACTCACTTAGCTGACTATTCAGCGTCACTGTGTACCATTCATCACATGAATATTTGAAGAGCTTTGAGGAGCTGATAATTGTGGAGGGGAGGGAAGAGGTGAGGGGGTTATGCTAGGAGAGACAGACATGTACTTTACTCCTCTCTACGCTGCAAAAGTTTTACTTTATTCATTTGAATATTAAAAGAATTGGAGGGGACCTTAGATGGTTAGGTGGATCCGATTCTAATTCTTGGGAGTCTGAATTAAGAAATTCAGAGAAAATCAGGCAGTTGCAGCAGCAGCAGGTAAAGCTGAAGGGGTATGAAGATTGGAATGATGAAGTTGAAGCCAGAGAAAAGTATTAGATCTACAGACAGAGGTACACATAGACATAGGTAAGGTGGCTGAGTCCCTTCGCAGGAGAATAAGAATCAGAAGAAAAGCAGCTAACATTTACTTGACAAATGTGCTTCTATCAAGCCCAGGTGACAGATGAGGGAATGAGTGACTGACTTGTCCAAATCCGCATACCTAATGAGGAGCAGGAGAATCTGCGGGTAGACATGTAAATGCTGAGTCCAGCCATTAACCTGATCACCGGCAGAGACCTGTGACCCCAGGCGGCTCAGGTTCTGAAACAGAACTGGAACCAACTCCCCTCCCCACGGCCTCAGAGAGCTCGGGTCCCCGTCCTTGGCTTCTGGTGAGACACTGTTTTCCCTGTCACACCATGTTTATCCTTTTAGTAACTTCCCTTTTCCATGAAATACCTTATTCCTTACAACCAAAAGGACATAATTAGCACACCCTGACTTTACACCTGCCTTAAAGTCTGTTTTACATAATCACTTATCACCTAGAAAAAAAAAATCCAACTCCAAAAATGTTCATGGACCACGTAGATTTTACTGAGTTTCATGAGCAGACAGAGGAATTACACCAGATCCCCTACAGCGAAATTTCCTTTACAACCCCCCCCCTTTCAACATTATCTTTCTCCTGAGCCCTCGCTCAGGCAGCTACCTCATCCCTTTTTTCTCTCTTATTTCTTCATCAGCCTCCCACCCCCTATAAATCCACTCAGCAAAGCTAAAGATACACAGAAGCACCCACAGCAAAACAAAAATCCAGCAACTCTGCATCTGATTCTTTCCGAGGCACGCCCCATTAATCCAACCAATTACAGCTGAAGATGCTGAGCCCAGAGCAGGAGATTTGCCCAAAGTCCCTGTGAACCCGAGGGAAAGACAGATTTCCCGCTCTAGTATTCTTGTTGTTGCTGTTAATGGGGGTCCTGGGGATTGAACCCCGGACCCTGTGCATACTAGGCATGCGCTTTACCGTGGAGCTATCCCCTCCCCCTGCTCTAGTGTTCTTTCAGTCACACCGCGCTGCGTAACAAGGACCTTACTCATAGTTAAAGCAAAAGGAAATTGCAGTGTTCTCCGAGTAAAAGCATTTCAGAAAACAGGGTCCAGATTCATGGGTGACGTGATGGAGTGATGTGATGAGATCAGTGCCCGAACTTCTCAAACACGTGCCCGGCGTCTGTGCTTCAGACACTTACTCTCGTCCACGTTTAATCTGCTCCACATCCGAGTAAGACACAAATGTCGGCCTTCTGACGACATCCTTTTGGGATTTGGAAGCTACGTTTGTCTGAATCATCCCTTTAGACAGAAAAGAGAAAACACAGATCAAGAAACAGTCCTAGAAAATGATGTACTGTTATTTTTCAGACGCTAGGAACACAGCAAATAATCATGACTCAACTGTACTTGTATGAATACAGAAAATCCTTTAGGATGGAAACTGCTCGTGATAAAAACTTGGAGCCTTCACTTAATATAAGACCCAGTAATATTACTATGGCAAAGAGATGAATGAACATCCTGCAATTAACCAAATCTATAAAAATGTCACACGGTAAAGAGGAGAGATAGGGCAGCCACGTAACAGGACACCACCCATGAAAGCTGCCCTAAACCAGGCATCAGTGATGTTGGGTTGGAATGTGGTAGGTATAGCTTCAGAGTTCTTTCCTACCTCAGGGTCGAAATACTGTTTTCAATTCACGCTGTAAACCTAGGTCTAAGCGGCAGCCAGCATGAGTTCTTTAAAAACTGAATCATCGTACATTGCTAGTGAAAGTGTAAAATGCAGTAATCTCACTCCTTAGTATTTACCCAAAAGAAACAAAAAACTATATCCACACAAAGGCTTCCATTTAACTGTTCCTAGCAGCATTAGCATAATAACCCAAAAGTGAAAACAACCCAAATACCCACTAACAGGTGAATGGCTAAACAAACTATGGTATATCCTTACGACGAAATATTACTCAGCAATAAAAAGGGAAGGACTATTCCACATGCAGCAACATAGATGAGTGAACAGTGTTCCGAGTGAGAGGAGTCAACCACATGTACAGTGCACATGACAAAGTTCTATTATATGAAGTTCTAGAATGGATTAATCTATAGCAACAGAAAGCAAATCGGTTGGGGAGGTGACTAATCACAAAGGGGCATGAGGAGACTTTTTTGATTGATGGGAATGTTCTAGCTCTTGATTAGGACAGTAGCTGCCCAAACTGGTCAGCGCTTATCCAGCTGTACACTTGAAATGGAGGCATCTTACTGCAGCAATCTTGCCTCCATTCAGTTTTACATCAACATCCATCCAAAAAGAGCAAGTCAGATCATGCCGCAACTCTGCTCAACACGTTTCGTGGTTTCCAGCTCATAAGATATTTCAGTCTCAACATCTGCTCTCATCTTTAAGAGACTTCCTTCCCACGTGCACAGGCTGCCCCCTCCCTTCCAAAGTTCCCTCCTCAGATAAAAGCAGGCTCCCTCCCACGGCTCCTCCATTCTCTTGCTGCTTCATCACATGGCTTCATTTTCCCCAGAGCTATTATTATTTTCTGAAATTGCCTGGTTTGCCAGCACCTAGCACAGTGCCTGGCACATGGCTCAGACTTCAACAGTAGTTTAAGAATGAGAGAATATAAGACATAGGGAAAAACAGTCTCGGACACTGCAAACTTCTCACAACCTGTTTCTAGGAACCAAGTGAATAAAATTACTGGGCTAAAATTTTCCAGATTCAGGAACAAGGTATTTTGGTTCTCATCTCTCCACCACCCTTTTAAATTGTCAAAACAATAGAATACCACCAAAAAGTTTTTTTAATTTAAGCCCATTTTTAATCTTACCATCCAATAGAAGAGATTTTAAATTTTTCTCTATTGCCTTCTAGTCTTGGTCCACATGCATATAGAGCTGCCCTTGTTATGTGCATTAATTTTTTTAGTTATTTATTTTGGGGGGAAGGGAAGTAATTAGGCTTATGTATTTATTTTTAATGGAGGGACTGGGAATTGAACCCAGGACCTCACACATGCTAGGCATGTGCTCTACCACTGAGCTATGCCTTCCCCCTAAATCATTTATTTTTTAAATATAATATAAAAACAGGAAAGTACAGAAACATAAACTTGGGGTTTGGCCTTCATTTAATAATATCAAATTTTGCTTTTGCTACATAATTTTCATAATCATAATTTTTTACTTAAACTATTTTATTGACATATAATCCACATCCCATAAACTTGACCCACTGAAAGTGTACAATTGAGTGTTTTTAGTGTTATTCACAGAGTTGTGCAATCATCACTACAGTCTAATTTTAGGATGTTATAATCAATCACCCTCAAAAAAAAAATCTCATACCCACTAGCAGTCATTTCCCATCATTCACTCCTTCCCTAGACAGACACAAATCAAATTTATGACTCTACAGATTTGCCTATTCTGAACATTACATACAAATGGAATCATAAAATATGTAATCTTTCGTGACTGGCTTCTTTCATCCAGCATCATGTTTTCGGAATTCATCTGTGTTATGGTATGTGTTAGTGCTTTATTCCTTTTTATACCTAAATAATACTCCACCAAATGGACGTGCCAGATTGCATCCATCCGTTCATCAACTGATGAACGCTTGGGCCATGTACAAACTTTGTTTGGCCACTGTGAATATTTATACTATGAATATTTATGTACACATTTTTGTTTGGATGTATGTTTTCATTTCTCTTTGCTATCTACCAGAGAGTGGACTTGTTGGGTCATATGGAAATGTTTTTTAAAGAAATTGATCCTAACACTCATATATGACAAAATGATCCTAAAGTGCATATGGCAACGCAAGAGACAAAGGATAACTAAAATCATCTGGGAAAAAGAAGAACAAAATTGGACAATTCATTCATTCATTCAGCTGATTTCAAAACCGACTATAAAGCTACAGTAATCAAGACAATACTGAGTTCCGGTAAAGATGTCAGAGTAATAGGACCATGAACTCGCCTCTCCTCACAACTACAGCAAAACTACAACCAACTTCTGAACAGTCATCGAGAAAAAAGATTGGAGCCTAGTGAAAAAGACCAGCTTCAACTGGAAGCATTGAGACGGAACCACAACAGGAAGGTAGGAAGGGTGTGTGCACGATATAGTCGGGCCCCATATCCTCTAGGTGGGCAACCCACAAGCTGAAGAACAGGTCACACAGGTGCTCCCACAGGAGTGAGAGTTCTGAGCCCCACATCAGGTTCCCCAAGCCAGGATCCCGGCAGTGGGAGGAGGAGACCCCAGGGCATCTGGTTTTGAAGGCCAGTGGGGCTTAACTTCAGGAGCCCCACAGGACTGGGGGAGACAGAGACTTCACTCTCTTGGGAGGCATGCACAGGATCTCGTGTGCACCAGGTCCGGGGACAGAGACAGTGATTGCATAGGGACCTGGGCCAGACCTGCCTGCTGGTTTGGGAAGTTCTCCCGGGGAGTTAAGGGACTGCAGCAGCTCACCCAGGGGACATAGAAGCTGGTGCTGCACATTCAGGGAGTGTTCATCTACGTGAGCTTCCCTGGAGGCTGCCATCTTGATTAGATCAACAGCACCGAGACCCAGCCCCACCCAACAGCCTGTAGGCTTAAGGGCTGGGAACCCTCAGGCCAAACAACATACTGAGTGGAAACACAGCCTCACCCATCGGCACACTTTCTAAGCCACAAACGCCTCTAGGCAGGGTCTTACTCACCAGAGGTCCAGGCCAAGCTTCACCCAGCAGTAGGCGGACACTGACCCCTCCTGCCAGGAAAGCCACATAAGCCTCTAGCCCAGCCTCATGCATCAGGGGGCAGACTCCAGAAATAAGAAAACAACAGCCCCAAGCCTGTGGAAGGAATCCACAAACACAGGCCAGACTCTGCACTGGGACCAGCTCCACCCGACCCCTTGATGACAAGAGAGGAGTGCACTGCGGGGACGCATAGGACATCTCCCACAGAGGCCATCTCTCCAAGGTCAAGAATCATAACTAGCCTACCTAAAAATACAAAGAGAAAGACAGGCAAAATGAGGCGGCAGAGGAATGTCCTCCAGGACAAGGTACAAGATAAAATCACAGAAGAAGAAATAAGTGATGAGGAGATACGCAATTTATCCGAGAAAGAGTTTAGAATGATGACGGTGAAGATGTTCGGAGAACTCAAGAGAAGTACAGATGCACAGAGAGAAGTTTTTAGCAAAGAGCTGGAAAATATAAAGAACAGCCAAACAGAGTTGAAAAATAAAACTATTGAAATGAGTAACACACTAGAAGGAACCAAGAATAGACTAAATGAGGCAGAAGAACAGATTAGTGAGCTAGAAGACAGATGAGTGCAAATCACTATTGCAGAACAGGAAAAAAAAAGCCAACATTGCACCAACACAAGGATAGACATACAGATCAATGGAATAGACTTGAGCCCAGAAATGAATTCTTACATTTATGGTCAACTGACTTTTCACAAAAGTACCAAGAAAAATCCATGGGAAAAGAACAGTCTTTCCAACAAACGATAAGGTACAACTTGATATCCGCAAACAAAAGGACAAATTGGACTCCTACCTTATACTACATACAAAAATTAACTCAAAATTGATCAAAGATTTAAATGCCAAGGTTAAAACTGTAAAACTCTTAAGAGAAAACATAAGAGTAAATCTTTGTGACCTTGGGTTAAGTAAAGGCTTCTCACACGTGACATCAAAGCACAAGCAAGAAAAAAGTAAATAAATTGTACTTAATCAAAATAAAAAAAAACCTTTCTGCTTTATAATCATAATTTTTAACAACTACCCAACACTCCACTGAAACGCAATACCTTAATGTGTTTAGTCACTACTCTACTGGTACACAGATTATTCCTCTATTTTACTACTATAAGTAAAAGGTCTTCAAGCCTGTGGCTTAATTTTTTCTTGTTGTGAATTATTTCTTTAGCAAGATTCCTTAGAGAATAAACATGCTAGCATATTTTAGTATCTCTTGGTATGTACTGCCAGGTTGCTTTCCACAACAGTTGGTATAATGGTCCTTCAAAGCTTCATTACTTAACACACCATAATTGGTACAGGGCCCAAATCTCAGATACCACCTGGGAGTGCCAAGGACCAGAGTAAGTCTCCTTTACCTATTTCAAAGCACCTACAGGGCTGGTCTTGAAAGGACAAGTGTCTGACCACTGCAGGGAGCATCCCAGGAGTGCAGCCGATGGGACAGTGCATTCAGAGGGAGGGCAGTTCCTGCCTGGATCTCTTACTGAACACAACAGACGGGTGGGTAGAGGCTAACCAGAAGATATTTCTACAGTGGCTCAAATAAACATGGCAGAAGGCAGTCTTTAGAAGAAGTAATGGCTCAAACCATTAACCTCAATAAAGCCTAGAAGGAGCAGCAAGGTTCTAAATTTTGAAGGCACTCACAGACCCAAGGTCTCTACCACAGCCATCAGCACCTGAAAATTCTGCCTCATCCTGGCAAGCAGCCCACCTAGAATCAGAACTTTAGAATGGCAGTGCTGGAAGTACCCCAAGAGGTCATATAACCCAATCCTCCATTTTATGGGGTGCCAGGGGCTGGTCCCAGGGTTGAACAGCTCCCGTGGCAAAGCCAAGGCTCCAGGGCACAGGTCTTCTGAGTGCCACTGGCTCCCACCCTCTGGACCACTTGCCTTGCTAAGAAGAACCCCAGTCCCGAGTGCAGGATGCTCGCCCGCTCCGCCCACTCCTGCATGTACGCCGCAGACCAGATTCCAACACGGGCACCAAGTGCAGAAACTTACCTTGGAAACTTAGCTCGTAGTTTTGTGAACCCGCCTGAAATGGCACAATTCCCCTTGGACAGGATAGATAGAAAGACTCCAGGTACACAGAGTCGATGTTTGAAACATGCTGATTGTCTTTCTAATTATTAAAAAAAAAAAGAAAAAAAAAGGTAAGAACTTCAGGGTAGTCTTTTAAGAAATTTCTACCATGGTATTTTATATAACTTTATTTTAGCTGTGGGATTTGAACAGGCACGCATCTCGCCTCCCAAACCAAATGGCCAAAAGGCTTCCAGGGTGGGGACATGTCACACCCTTTTGTAGTCTTCTCCACTGAGGGGCTGAGAACACCCTACAGAAACTCTGCAAGGCTCTAGGGTCCAGATCAGCCATATTCACTAGAACTTCCTTCAATGATGGAAATGTCCTCTGTGTTGTCCTGTATGGCAGCCACCAGGCACCTGTGGTTATAGAGCACTTAAAATGTGACCAGTGTGACTACGGAACTGATTCTTAATTTACTTAAATTTAATTAATTCAAGTTTAAAATTAAATAGCCATGGAGACATTGCTTTGGGAAAGATCCCCAGTGTTCTTTTTACTCGCTGCAAGTAATACATCCTTCCTTCTCCTGGAAAAAAAAGAACTAAATAGTCACGTACGGCTAGTGGTTGTCATACTGGACAGAACAGGGCCATTAAGTCAGTGACTGAGCATCTGCACAGCCTCGCGTGGTTCACTGGGACCTTCCTCTGGCCCTGCCCTCACACTGGACTCCAGTTCTGAATGAGTAAGCGAGCGAAAGAATCAGCGGTAGAGCTTACAATGTATTCTCCCAGGAGACTTGATCTTACCTTCAGCTTATGGTTCACTAACCACCAGGTCTTGCCTTTCATCTTGTGCCCACACTACCGCCTTGATCTTGGCTTTCTAGGCCTATGGCTTGCCCTTGTCCTGGGCAACTCCCTCCAGTCATGGCCTCCTGCCCCTCAACGCCAGCTTTCACAGCTACTAAGCTTAGCCATCTGCTGGCACTCCTCTCGGGGGTCTGGATCTGCACCCCCTGCCTGATGCAAAGCCCATGACTACCATGACTCTGCCTTCCGGCCACTCCTGCTAGAACTCCGTCCTGCACCACGGATGCCCACCGTCCACTCCCTGTCCGCCATCTACGTAGGTTCGAGTTCTGGTTAAGCACCTTCACTTCCATAAATCAATTCTACCTTCCAGAGAGTTCACTGTCAAAACACATGCACCTACACTTTGTTGGCAAAAGTTTCTGTTCTTCCATTTCATACCTAAGAGGTTCCTAACCCAGAAATCTCAGTTGCCCAACTCTTACGAAAAACTCAGTTACAAGATAAAACCTGTAGGGCCCTGTCTGAAAGCTTTATGTCCCACTCTTTTCTCTAAATATTCTAACTCGAATGCAAATACTTTCCAGCTCTTCTCCCTTACCTTACTGAAAGTTCCAAGTAGTTGACATAAGAACCATTGAGACCTATAGCTTATTTTCATTTACTTTATTTTTAAATTTTGTTTTATTTTATTTAATTATTTGCTTTAATACCGAAGGCTAATGAATTTGAGCTTATAGTTTCTATTTCCACAAGCACCTGAGAGACTCACTTTTACAGAACTGTACTTTGACATCATCCCTGGCTTGAGCATAAGAGGAACCCGTGCAAAGCTCGGCATCAAGGAGTTTTCATGATGGGATGCTTGATGGGTCACCACAGGAGAGGAGAGCAAAGAGGAAGGCAACTGAGAGATGGAGCTCTGAGCCCTGTCCTCTTCGCACGGGGCAGCTCTGCATTGTTCTAGTTTGCTCATTTCAGTTCTGTGAAAGATCGTCTGAGAACATGTATCCACCGCTAAGATGGCTGGGAAACCACCAAGCTACTGCAGGGACCATAGGACTAAGGTGGAGGGCCTCCCTCACCACAGCACGCATGGTCCCCTCTGTGCGGCCCTCTAGGAGATGTTTTTCTCAGGCCTCACTAACAGGAAAAAAAAGCTGTGCTTCTCCTGAGTAACCGAAATGGTTTTCCCATAGAGGCACAGGGGAACTTGTAACAGGTTGTGTTTCTTTGCTTCCTTTGGCAGCTAGGGAGCTCAGAGCCAAATGTATGGCCCATTGACTTCTAACTATATAGAATCTTATGCTGGTATTTCCTTGTCCCTACTTTGTCACTGGCTTCATTTTAATCTCTTGCTTTTATTTTCTCTTTCTCCTCACTCTGATTTCATTACATACCTAAGCACTCTCTCTCTTCCCCTCTTCAATCCTATGATTCAAAGGGAAGAAGGGACACTAGACAGACACTCTGGTTATCTAAACTTCTACCCCCTATTACTATGTCCCTGTGGGGGTAAGCCTGGAATCTTCTAGTTCATCCGAAAACAGACTCTGACTGAATCCTAGTAACTATCTATATCAGTCTTCTGATTTCTCACTCTTGCTTCCTTTTCTGGTTGGAAGCAATAGTCTCTGTATATTTATGTACTAATACATAGAAAGCTATCTCAAGGTTCCACCCCAGTCCCCGATAGGGAGGGATGAAGGATATTTGACTGGCTTATCAAGAAGTATCAAGAGGTTCCTTAAAAATAATTATAATTTTTTTAAAGGAGGGGGAGGGTATAGCTCAGTGGTAGGGCACATCCTTAACGTGCACAAGGTCCTGCGTTCAATTCCTAGTACTTTCACTTAAAAAAAAAATCTATATATATAATTTTTTTAATGACGCAATTGGAGTATATGCTTGCTGAAAAAAAAATGCAAATACAGCTGGGTATAATGTAAAAAAAGCACCACTTCTTCTACCATATCCACGCTCCATGGGTAACACATAGGCATCAGACATCGTGTTAATGGTTTCTCCCAAAGTTGGCAAGTTTATCCACCCACGAGGAGGAACAGTACTCACCTTCTCCCCATATTGAACCCATTCGTCAGATCTATTCCTCCAATACCAAAGCCACTTGGTGGTGAAGACAGAATTGGCCGGCATTGTGATGGATGAAGGCGTGGAGATACGTTGGATAGGATTATTGTCACAAGTCATTTTCCGGAAATTGATTTTATAATTGCCAATAGTAATGCTGAGAGGGAAAAGTTTAGCATTAACAAAATGCTTCACTGAAGCAAAATTCTTCTGTTTTCTACACTCTAGTTTTCCCTCATAAGAGCACAGAATTAAAACTTTAGAGCTGAAAAGGATCTTTGAATTTCCATTATATAACTTCTGGTCTTACACATAAAAGAAAAAACTGAAATACAGAGTAGCAATGTAGCCTGCCTACACCACATATTTAATGGTGTCACAAAATGTGTTCTTCCCTCAAAAAATATCCCAGAAGAACACCATGCCCACAAAAACCAACTGATTGGCTCAATGTTAGAAAGTCAGTTAGAGATTCACAGTCGGTCAGTTTTTTAAATAATTATTATTTAAATAGTTATGAAGGGGTGATCGGAGCCTTTTCAGGGAGCCAACAAGATGTGAGGTATTTTCATAGTAACATTAAGACATAACTTGCCTTTTTCACTTTCATACCCTCACAGGTGCACAGTGGAGTTTTCCAGAGGCTACAAGATGTGTGATTTCACAACAGAGTAATGAGACTTGCAAAAATAGAAAATAATTTCATTCTTCTCAATGAGTTTTTATTTTGCTTTGGAAAATAGTTATTTTTGTAAATATACTTATATACAGCTATATATGCATATAACTGTATAATCTATTAAAATGTTAACATGTAATGAGTTTATTATTGTTATTTTTGAATGAATCAATAAATATTTAATTTTTCTGTTTTGATTTTTAATATGGTAAATATTGACAGTTATAATCCACATAAACAGAAGCTCTCTGGGATCCGCTGTACATTTTAAGACTGTGGTGACAGGGGGAGGCTCCTGAGACCAAAAAATCTGAGAACTGCTGCTCTAAGAAACACCTCCTAGATCAGTGGTTTTCCACCAGGAGCGATTTTGTGACCCCGGGGACGTGTGACAATGTCTAAAGAACATTTTTGGTTATCACAACTGGCATGTAGTGGGTAGACACCAGGATAGACGCTAAACGGCCCCCAAAACAATTAATTATCTGATTTGAAAGCCAAGAGCGCTAAGGTTGAGAAACTCTGCTTCAGATTTACCTAGGGGGGAAAAACACACCTAGAAACAAGAAAACTGCTGATGCCACCCTCTACTGGCAAAACGCAGCAACACAGAATCTCCACCAAAGATTCTCCAGCTCCGCAGATGAAATGTCTGCATTTCCCCCCAACCAAATTTCCTTATAAAACAGAATGCATCTATAAATAGAGTCATGGGTAGTATCAGCCCTAACAAAAACAGAAATGTAAGGCAGCCTCTTAGAAATCTCCAGGTTAGAGAAAAAGGCAAACAGAGGAAGCTTTAAAATGCTAAAGTATACAACAAAATTCTGCCCCAGAGCTACATGAAATGACTCAAATCATTTCCGCAAACTATGAAATTAAACCAAAAGCTCTTCTGAGCTCATCATTTAGTACTTTTAATAGTCATATGATGAACTGATAGGAATACAAAACTGACCTCTGCATCGTGTTGTTCTGCAGGACACCCTGACAAATATTAACTAAACAAAAAACCGTGTCCTTGTTTATGTCACCTGAGTTAGCAAATAGTCCCAGAACCCCTAGAATTAGCTGGGTTCTGAGTGACTTCAAACCTGCCCAACTTCTGTTTTTCTGTTCATTAACCCATCAGGCATTTGCTTTTTTTTATCCAAAGAGTTCAGCCTGAATGGGATTCTGAGGGAAAACTGTTTTTTCTTCTTCCCATCAACATAGCACTCCGCTTTCCTTTGATGATGCTGTGAAACTCACAAGCCAGACCAGCCATCAACTTACACGCAGATTTTGGGGTCACAAAAGGCCTTCTCAATATTCTCCATGAGCAAGAGGTCCATCCAGGTGTTTCCAATGAACATCTGCCACCGGTAGGGCAGGTGGAAGTGAACTTTGTGGCAGCCGTCTACAAAGACAGAAAAGAGGCCGGAGGGTTTGTTGCGTGGGGGTTCAAACCAATTCAACCAAGTTCACTGCTGACTTTTCCCATCAAGACCTGCCTTTCCCACCCTGCCAGACCTGCAGGCACATTCCCCTGCCCATGCTGGCCTCCACCTGCACTGCCCCAAATCCTTATCTCCAGGTTCCTTTATTACCCATGGAGACTCATCAGAAAACAAAATTCTCCACTCCCCAAAAAGCCACATCACCCACATGGAAATCTGAGGTCATTATAAATTAAGTTACCCTTTCTGCACCCGCCACATGGATTTATTGAGATAAAATGCTCTCCAGCGTAGGCAACTGCTTGTGTTTCCTCGAAGCCCTGGCCTAAAATTCATCTCTTCCAGAAGAACTCCCTCACTCATCTCACGCTATTCTGACCTGCCTTGTATTTCACATTCCCTTAGCCAGTACTCAGCACCCAGGTTGTGCTTTACTATTTATGTATTTACTTATTTTATGGAGTTTTCTAATTTGTAGATGTTTTGATGTCCCACCTTAATGACAAACTCACTGAAGAAATGCCTGCATCACTGTTTAGCTTACATCTCCCTTGCTTCACTGCCATAGGACTAGGCACGCAAAAGATGGCCATTCAATGCGTACTTGCTCAATCATGAATTAATGTTAACAAATCCATATTACAGGAGCACAGGAAGAAGTTCTGTTTTTCAGTTTGCATTACGTTTAAATCATTTTGCAATGTCTTTTAGAACAAAAAGAGAGAGACTTAGACATCACAGGGAAACCCAGAGTGGCACTACCGAGATTTGGCTGATTCAAAAGTCTAACTATTTGTTATAGTCCGTGCCTTCCTCACACGCATTTAAATGGCTGCTATAAACAAATAAACAAATACATGAAAAACAGAAATTAACATGTGCTGGCAAGGATGTGGAGAAATTGAAGCCCTTGTGCATTGTTGGTGAAAATGGAAAATGATACAGCTGCTATGGAAAACTGTGTGGCAGTTCCTCAAAAAGAAAATTAAACATAGATTTGCCACATAATCCAGCAATTCCACTTCTGGGTCTATACCCAAAAGAATTGAAGGAAAGGTCTCAAACAGATATTTTGTACGCCTGTGTGGACAGCAGCATTATACACAATAGCCAAAAGGTAGAAGCAACCCAAGTGTCCATCAATGAATGAATGATTCCAACACAATGTAATAAAATATAACAGAATAGTATTTAGTCTTGAAAAGGACGGCAACTCTCACAAAGGCTGCAACATGGATGAACCTTGGGGACATTATGCTAAGTGAAATAAGTCAGTGTCAGAAAAAAGACAAATACTGTGTGAGTTCATTTACATGAGGGACATAGAGGAATCATATTCATAGAAGCAGAAACCAAAATGGCAGCTGCCTGGGGCTTTCCTGCCGGAAGGGGGAAATGAGGAGCTATTGTTTCGTGGGTACAGAGTGTCAGTTTCACAAGATGAAAAGGGTTCTGGAAATTGGTTGCACAGCAGTATGAATGTAATGCACACTACTGAACTGTACACTTAAAAATGGTTAAGATGGTAAAATCTACGTTATGTACATTTTACCATAATTAAAAACAAAGATTTATTTAAAGACTTCTGATTTAGAGAACGCAGGGTAGAATCTCTTCTTCAGACACAAGGCGAATGAGTCTAAGGCCACTAAGTGATTAAGTAATGGATCGGACACGATGCCTGATGGGGCAGAGGCAGGAAAGGGAGGCAGGAAAGGGAGGCAGTGGCGTGAGAGGAAGAGGGCAGCGTGTCCCCAGCAGTCCCGTGGGAGACGTTTCTACAGGAAGCCTGGTGGGAGGAGGCACGGAACAGGTGTGGCTCCTCGGCTGGAGTGACACAAGTCAAAGAGTCCACGGCCCAGAAGAGAAGCAACACTTAGAGCATGACGGGAAATGAACTCTGAAAATGTGCCTGCTACGACACCTTTGTTTGTTTCTCGTAGATAAAAAGATGGACCTCTGATTAAGTATCATAGTTCACCTTAAACTGAATTGCAAAGGGAGAATGTATAGTATCATGCAGTGGTGAAGTGGGCAGTTTAGGGAAAACCCAAGTTCTGTCTGTGCATCTGTGACATGGATTAACAGCAGAACCGAGTGTTGACCTGAAGTTTAAAGAAGATGCATGTGAGATTCTTAGCATTGCACCTGACACATAGTAAATACTCAGTAAATGGTAGCCACATTACTATTAATGAAGTTTCTGCTTCTAGAAAGTCCTTAAGTTACTCACTAAGTTGACAACCCTTGTATAGATGATAGAGACAAATTTCATTTGAACCACGTTCATCCATCCTGGAAGATGCGGTACTCGCAACGTCAGATACGGAATCTACAAAACAAAAGGGGATGCATGTGTGCTGATTCTAATATTTAAACTAAAAATCAAGATACCTGGTCTCAGTGGGAAAGACTATCTGGAACAGGGGCTATGTTCAAGAAAATCATTCCTATGATTCACGTATTGCTCATGAGAACACAGACAGCACCCCCGTGGAACCGGTTACGTTTACTTCTTAAACCATGGCTGAACGACTCCTGCTCTCAAGAAATGTAGCTGCTTATTCCACACACTTCTAGGGCTGGCCCTTCCGTCTTCATGTCAGTCCCCTCACCAGTACTGATCCTTAATCAAAACCCTCTTTGTCCTTTAATAACTGCTAAGGAACATCCAAAGGGGAGCCAGCAGCCACAGCCGCTCTGCTGCAGGCACCAGACCTGGGGCCCCCTTTGTCCGTCAGTGACGCGCGCAGAGCCCAGCCTGGCACCCTCCTTACAAGCTCGCTGGCAGGGCTAGCAGAGATCTGAGTGGAGTTCTGACCACAGGTGCCCTAGGCTGCAGCTCTGTTGCTTAAGGCAGGTGAAAAAGGAGGGACCGTGGGTGGAGCACTGCCTTGTGCGGCGGCAGTGATCTCCCCACACGCGGACAGGGCCTGGGTTCTCAGGCTCTGCTTTCCAGAGCGTAACACATCTTTCTCCCCTCTGACTGTCGATGTTAGGCCAAAACCAGTGGCGCCAGTTTTACCTGCGTCAGTGGTTTCATCCATAACTTTACTAGAGCCCTTTGGTGGCACTGTGGACAGACTGGCCCGAAACGTCTTCTCTATGTGTTTACCGTTAACAAAGGCGGCTCCTACATCGTCAGCTGTAATTTTGCCAGGGGTCTGGACATTATGGTGAGTAGTTCCGGTGTCCTGATTCCTAGGTAACGATTTTTCTCGCTGTCTACTGGTTGTGGTTTTGTAATTTGAAGGTTTCGCGGAAGTCCCATCTGGGGCCATCCCATCAACATTGTTAAAAATCGGCAAGCGCAGGACAGCTGGAATTTCACTTTTGTTCTCCGTGTTCCCGCAGTCCAAGGAAAGGACGGCCGGGCTCTTCCTGGTGGTTAAGGTTTCGGGTGTTTGCGGAGAACCAGCAGAGGTGGAGACAGCTTGACGCAGAGGAAACAAGCTCTCTCTGCTGGTGTCTTGGTCCTTCTGCCAGGATGTGGGGCCTTTCCATTTGGAAGCTGGTGCTGAATCCAAAGTGATGCCCTTTCTGTCATGATTCCCATGAAAGAGACTCTCTGGGCCTCCGTTCTCTGAAAACCTCTGGCTTCCCCCCACCTGACCTGTTCCTCCAAAACTGACAGCCATAGAGGAGACTGGGGCAGGCTGAGAGCAATCCTGACTTCCCAAATGCACGAACTTGTGGGTGACAGCCTCCATCAGCACATCGTCCAGGCTGGGCTTCCGGCCGACCGGCTCCGGACTGGGTGTGCAGGACCTCTGAGCAGAAGCTGAGGCTGACGGAAGAAATTCAAGAGTGCCCTGGAGTAATCGGTTTCTGCTCTTGCTTCTGCCTGTATATGGCACATCTCTGCGATGTGAGGAAGGAGCTAGGAGAGAAAAACGAAACAGGGAAAGTCAGTGTGAACACGGCTGGCTTCTCACCACTGTTTCCCCTCAGCTGTTCCAGGTTTGCTCTCCGAGTTCTACCACATTACTGGTGCGGGAAAGTCTTGAGAAGGTGGTTACAACAATGGAGGACGCCTGGCATCCTGCCAGCTCGGCAGAAACAACATCCCGTGGCCCAGAATAGCACGCGAACTGACCCTGGCTCTTCTCGGCTTCTCTCCCAGGGCTCAGACGTCACCCCCAAGCGCCCAGCTCCTAGGTGGGGCTGTCCACATTCCCCATCGTGCATCGCTGTGGTGAAAGCAGGGACAGAATAGTTCAGGGAGGACTTTCCAAAAATAATTTAGATTTTGCCCATATTGTGATATCAGCGTACGTAACAAGTTAAGGACTCACGATACTTAGAACAACAACAAAAAAAGAAACTACAATAAGCCTCTGATTTCATTTAAGCTAGAAAAGTTTCCAGAGTTCTCCATCCAGCCCCCAAACGCCCAAGATGAAGTGAGTAACATCACAAAGAATTGGTCTCCCTCTAGAAACATGGTAAGTCACACCCCCAGGAAGCAGAGGGGAGGGAGGGAGCATGTGTGTTTGTGAGTGTGTGTGAAGTGTGGTATGCATGGGTGTGATGTTTATATGTGGCATGTGTTGTGCTGGGTGTGTGTGCATGCATGAAGTGTGTGTGCAACACGTGTGGTATATGTATGAAGGATGTGCATATGGTGTGGATGCATGTGTGTCGGTGGGGTGTGTGCATGTGAGAAGTGAGTGCTGTGCGTATGTTATGTGTGCTGTGTGTGAGGTTTGTGTATGCGTGGGGTACGTCTGTATGTAGGTGGTTGCTTCTGTGTGCACATGTGTGGAGTGTGCATATGTGGTGTGTGAGTTGTGCTACTGCATGTGGGGAAGAGAAGACGAGAGGCCCCTTCTCTTCCAAACCCCGGGGGCAGGAGGAGTGGAGTACAAGCAGGCATCCTCCTCCGTCAACAACGGTTAACTAAGTAGATTAACCGGAAGTGACAACAAATAAAACTCCCTCTCTTGTACAGTAAACGTACAGTAAACTCACATTGGGAGACTCTACCGAAAGCCATCGCTCCAGACGTCCCCTGTTCAGAGAGCACGGGGGTGAGCAAGAAACAACATGAAACATGGAATCGGAACATGTGAGCTTTGCCACTCTCTAGTGAGGCTCTGAAAACATTACTTTTCTTTTTTTGGAGGGGGAGGTAATTAGCTTTATTTATTTATTATTATTATTTTATTTTAATGGAGGTACGGGGGATGGAACCCAGGACCTTGTGGATGCGAAGCACTGCCCTCTAGCATGGAGCTATATCCTCCCCCTACTCTTCTTAATTCATAGTATTACCCTTCATTCTTCTAAAAATGACTTAATCTGCTTGCAGTCAAAGTCACTTAAAATTCCCAAGCCTCAGTCTCCTTATCTGCTAAGTGAGGCCAATAATCCTCATGTCCCTTGTAAACTATAAAGCATCTCTCAAATATAAAAGGATATAATGGCTTATTACCTTTCACAGAATCTTAGAATTATGTATTCTATTTGCTTCATAAAATTCATCTCTATATCCACTTCATAAAGACATTAAAAATGGCAAGTGTTAACTCCATTAAACAACATGAAAATGCTTAAGAAATAGTACTAATCACTTTATACCCATTAGGATGGCTATTATCCAAAAAACAGAAAATAACAAGTGTTGGCGAAGAGGTGGAGAAATGGGGATCCTGGTGCATTGCTGGTGGGAATTTAAAATGGTGCAGCCACTGTGGAAAATGGTATGGTGGTTCCTCAAAAATTTAACACAGAATTACCATGTGGTCCAGCAATTCCATTTCAGAGTATATATCCAAAGAACCGAAAGCAGGGTTTCAAAGAGGTATTTGTACACCCATGTTCATAGCAGAATAATTCACAACAGCCAAAAGGGAGAAGCAACCCAAGTATCCATTGACCTATGAATGGGTAAACAAAATGTAGTGTATCCGTACAGTGCAATCACATTCAGCCTTAAAACAAAAGGAAACTCTAGTGGGGAGAGTGTAGCTCAAGTGGTAGAGTGCATGCTAAGCATGTACAAGGTCCTGGGTTCAATCCCCAACACCTCCTCTAAAAATAAATTATAGTAATTTATTAATAATAATTACCTCCCCCCCACCAAAAAATTTTTTTAAATTTAAAAATTAAAAAAAAAAAGAAAGGAAACTCTCACACATGCTACATGATGAATGAATTTTGAGGCCATTATGCCAAGTGAAATAAGCCAGTCACAAAAAGACAAATACTGTATGATTCCATTTATGGAAATTTCCTATAGCAGCCAAATTCATAGAAACAGAAACTAGAATGGTGGTTGACAGGTGCTCTGGGGGAGGAGGAAAGGGGCTGTTTAATGGGCACAGAGTTTCAGTTTCGCAGGATGAAAAGAGTTCCGGAGATTGGCTGCACAACAGTGTGAATGTACTTAATGCCACCGAACACTTAAAAATGGTTAAGACGGTAAATGTTATGTGTATTTTTACCACAATTTTTGAAAAATTACATAAGGATTATATATATATATATATT